CCCCAAAACCCCAAAACCCCAAAACCCCAGGGTATAATCCAAAGGTTGACGATTAACATTTTTATTTTGTAGGTTATGATTTGGGGTATCAATTTATGGATTTTTAGAATAGAACTTGGATTTTAGAGTAAAGTTAAATTTCGTCATCATCATCAATACTTGAAGTGAGTCTTAGGGGTTTAGCCGGAGAGAATGTTTCGTTGAAGTTTTTTGGTGAGGTAAAATTTATTCCCCTTTTTCTTAATCTATCCGAATCATATTGTACCGTTTCATGCTTATGAGGCTCTAAATGTGCGAATTTGTCATTTCTCCATGCTTCTTGAATTAATTCTATATTCACAATATTAAAAAGTCCTCAAAGCACTGAAAATTTGAAAATCTTTACTTTTAGCCCTATTATTTGACTCCTTCCTTTCAAAATCTTGAGTGTCATACTTAGGAGGATATTTGGTTTCCTCTTTAGGCATATGCTCTAATTAATATGAAACCAATATCTTTAAAAAATTTACTTTCAGAGTTTTTTCTGACCTGCTTTTCTCTTTTACTAGGTATGAATTCCTTTCCATTTTCTAAATTTTACTTTAATATCAGATAGGAATCTTAAAGTACCTTTTTCCCAATTTTTTAAACCAAACCTTTTAGGTTTATTCGGCTTTTCTATAGGTAGCACTTTTGTGGGCAGCACTTTTGTGGGCAGCACTTTTGTGGGCAGCACTTTTATAGGCTCAACTGTCTCAATCATTAGGTCCTTCTTTTCTACCTCTGGAGGCTCGATTCCCTCAATTTCAAAAGTTGATACATCATATACAATTTCTTTCTTTTCTAAAAATATAATGAAAATTAAGAATTAATTAATCTTCTTCTGAGATTAAGAATATGCCATTTTAACTTACTCTTTTTGGGTTTGACCACTACTACAACTTCTATCTAAATTTCCGAGTCAGACTTGATAGCAATATCTCTTTAATAACTCTTCAAACCAAAAACAAGGTGAAAAATTAGCTTCTCTTTTCAGAGATCTTTAGCCACCTCACATAAACTTATACCAAAGAGGCAATATCAACCCCAACCATTAATTTATCAACCTGAGTCACTAAATTTCCCAATAATTAGCCAGTTATCTATCAAATAATCCGTCAATGGTAAACCGTAACCATTCAGATTTAACATAAGTCTTATTCTCTGTTATAATACTCAAGAATTACCTTTGGTTCATTTGCGAAATATTGCTTAATCTCTATGAAATTTACTATGAAAGTTACCTTGATACACCTTCTTTCCTTGGATGTAATTTCCGCACTAGATATAAAGCCTCAAAGGATACCAATTGGAGGAAGATTACAGCAGATGTGTTCGCAAAAATTAGTATGACTATGAATGATGCAGAAGTGTCTAGAAAAGATTAGGAATAACTCACATTCGTCATAGTATTCCTTTGACTTCATCATTGAAAATACGAGGATGAATACCAAAAGGAATCACTCATTTATCCTGTATATGTTGCTGAGAGGCCACCATTCAAATTTAGGAGCCATTATTGATTGGAATAGGTAATAAATCTGGAATGAGAGAAGAAATAAGAACAAGAATGGAAGAGTTCCTTTTGAGAAACTATCAAACATTATGATCAAGAAGGTGAAAACAAGAATTCTGGTGAGTACAAGAGGGATATGGAATACAGCAAATGGCTCTCCTCTCAAATCTGCAAGTAATTCTTCATAAAAAACAGGCTCTTCTTCTATTTCTTCTATTAAAATATTACTTTAAATTTATTACCTAAATCTTTTTGATTATTCTTATTCTCAGCATCATTATTATTTTGAATCTCATTATCTTCATCATTCTTATTTCCATATTTTTCATAATCATCAAGGCCTTCCGAGCAGGTAACTTTTCTGTAAGCTTCATGTCTTTCAATAAATACACAGAAACATATCGACCATACAAAGCAATAGAATATAAAATATGAGATAAGCATTGCAAAAGCTAAGATAAGAGATAATGAATCGACCTTTTCACCTCTTAAGGCTAATCTAATTTCATACATCGTGACAATCATTATTCCCATGAAGGACTCTATCATTGCTCTAAAATATAAAGACCAGAAATTTTGAGGCTTGAAGAAGTCGCGAATTTTAGTGCAGAGAGACACACAGCATTTCTTGCATATCCCTTGTTTCTTTTGTATTACTATTTGCTCTTCTCAAGAAGTTTCTAGCTTATCATTAAAATCCTCATATTTTTGATACTGATTCATACAATCTGGAGGTTCATCCATTTTATTTTCTTCTTTTATTTCTTCTACATTGATCATTAGAAACCTCATAATAAAATATTAACTATCCCTATTCAACAAAGATCTTTCTTTTTCAATCATCTTCCTTAATCAAAACCCTGAAATTCCAACCTCACAACACTTCCTTACCTGGTAATCTCACCTCATTCAACTCATCCTCAATTCTACTAATATCCTCTTCATTAATCCTAAGCGCAGTCGCATTAACATCATTCATCACTCTCCCATTTACATCACTAAACTGCGAAATCTGACTATTCCTCCTAAAACTTCCAAAATCACATTCCCCACATTCTTCTTCACTAGAACCACCTTCCTGTTCAACTTCTCCTTCCTGCTCTCCACCTATTCTCTTCTTAGTGCTCCTTCACTTGTAGTACAGGTGTCTAGCAAAGGAAGACAGGCAGTGGAGGTTCACTAGTAGGAATATTCCAAAGAACAGCTTCCAGTATTCTCTAAAAGCACTTTGATATTTAAAGTCTAGGTCCTCTAATTGTTTTGAAGCCTGTTCGTTGTTCATAAATCCATCAATAAAGAAGGGAGATAAGATAAATTTTGGAAGGAATCCATTCATAAAGTCTAAATCCATCATCACAAAGCTCTGTTGTTGGATTAGAAATTTTATTGTAGGGTCAAAATAAATCTTGATAAGCAGCAAAAGAATTAAGAGCTTCTGTTGATTAAAAACCATCCAGACTCCTTGAATCAAAGACCCTCCTAAAATAGCTGAGGATAGAGATACAAATATTCCAAAAAGATAAGTTATTGTTTGAAATATTTTTATCATAGAAAAAGCATCTAAATTTTATATTAGAGGAACCAATATTAATTCAAACGAGAACTCCATCCTTCAAAAGTAATCATGGAAACACCTCAGTTTCAATAATCCAACCTAAAATATTTATTACCTTCTTCTTCCTCCTCAATCTCCACTTGAAACGCCCAACTCTCCCCTGTACTTTCAGACTTGAACTCTAATAACCAGCTAAGTGACACATTTTAGGTGGGATAAATTATTTGTTAATAAGAAACTTGGGTGAGACTAGTGATGGTTTGGAAGATGAGAAAGGAAGGGATGAAGGGAAATTTACTTAGGTTGTATTTGGATGTGGTCATACTATCATAATCGTCTCTTTCAGGACATTTTATTTTCAATTTTCCACTTTTATCATCAATAGAAAAAGTATAGTTCCTATCTTTATAATCCTTTTCTGATTTATCTGGCTCAACTTGTTCTGCCTTCTCTAGAGTCGCATTTGTATATCCGCTGAAAGAGAATGGAGCTCACAGAGAAGTCACTGTTTCCTTCCCTATTATTATATTGAGTTTTTCTTTTGGAATGGTAGTTACTACATCATCCACATGACTTTCTCCAATCTATATGGAGTATGAGTAGGCAAGAGTCGGAGCTGAATGATGATTTATAATTCATTCTTTATGACTATATACTCCCTTCTTCCAAAATTCTTAATTTCCTCTACAAATCCCCAAAATCTCCAAAAATCCCAAAACCAGTTCAAAACTTCAGTAAGAAAATTGCTCTAAAAAGTGACTTTACATTAGGGCTCTTGGGAAGTTCAGGGATTGAGAAGTGGACTGAGTGGGTCCGGGTGACGCTCCATGTTGTGAGGGTCGAGGAGAGGCTGGTGATAGGGGAGTGATTGAGGGTAGATTCAGAGGAAAATGAGGTAGTGGATTCGGTGAAATCTGGGTGGGTTTTGTTGGCTAGAGAGTGTTAAGTGGTGGAAGGAGGGGAAAATTGGGGGTTGGAGGGGGGATGGGGAGGGAAGGAGGGAAGGAGGATGGTTTAGGTAACAATTGGGGAGGTTATGTTGGGATTTGAAATATGGTTGAGATGGAGAAATGGAGTGTGTTTGCTGGGTTAAAGGAAATACCAAAACACCAAACTAATCTTCACCCTCCACCCATCTGCTCCCTAGACTTACCAGAATACCACGTTGCTGCGTACAAATAACTCCCTGAACTCACAAAAAATATCGGCCTAAACAGTCAAATTCCTTACAAATCTCTTACCTTTTATTCATAAAATAAAAGTTCCTGTATTGCTTCAAGAGGACATGGTAAGTATTCCAAAACCTACGAGTGGAAGTATCAAACCTATAAAGTCTGTGTTCACCCGATCCCTGACTGCTCCCGATGATCCATAGTTCCTTGTTCCTGTACGTAGATAAATTAGAGGGATGTTAAGGAAGTAGGAGTGGAACTAAGTTTTGATGGAAATGGGTGGAGGAAGGGGAATGGGGTTTTAAGGGAGAAAGGAATTTTGAGTGGGATTAAGAGGGATTTTGGGGGTTGAAGTGGTAGAGTCAAGTTTAGGGGTGTTGTGAAAATATTACTGAAATAGTTTGAAGTACGTAAGGTTTTAGTAAGGTTTTATTATTGTTTTATGTTATAAATAGGTTGCTGATGAGAAAACATTGGCATGGCTTAAAAATGAATTAGAGGATAAGAAAAATAGAGGAGAGATTTTAATTGAGAATTTAAATTTTGTTTGGTAAAAACTATTTAAATTTTTAGGTTGTAGTTTTAAGATTACGATTGGGGTGCTAGAAATAAGCAAAGAGTACTACATTTTGTTTCATCCTCTCTATTAATTTCCTTTCCGATAAAATAATTCTATCAATACTCTTGCAATAACAACTTTATCTTACTCCAATAAAAGTATTTGGTGTGCGGTTGATATCGAACTCAAATAATCATGGCTAATTGCTTGGATTTGGTCTGGGTCATCTCTACTGATTATGATTTTAACTAAAGCCACTCTGGACCCATCTTCTGTATAAATAGCATAATAAGTCTTCGAGTCTTCACCGCTACTAATCTTAGCATCACTCATCGTAGTGCATGGTCCTGTGTTCAAAGGGTTCCCACATCCGATAGAGAAACTGGTCCTGAGAGAGAAGGTTTCGAGGTCTAGTTCTAGGAAGGAGGTTGCTGACCCGTTTTTGTATATAGCCTATACTTAGATTTATGTCTTACTAATAATCCTTTCTCGTTTGAAAGAATACCAATTTGATTTATGTTTAAAGGACTTGATGATGCTCCAACTTGAAGACAAGAAGACATGTTCCAGGCTGAACTCAAGGTGTTTAATAAGCAAATTCTAGAAGCTTCTGAACTCACTTCTAAGTGTACACCTATAGGAGGAAGAGTTTATTACAGTTCTAAATGCTACACTCATATAGATTTAGGCTAAACTTCAGATTGCTTACAAGTATGAGTATCATTCAGAGGTTTCATGTTTACAGAATTTGTCAGAGCATGGACATTTTCCCTATGTTTCAATGATTAGTATAAATTTCTACAGTTTGCATGCATATTTTGAATCAAGATACGTGAAAACAATTGCTTCTAATAAAAATGTAAGCTTATTAAATTAAGACACGAAGAGATGTTCTTTTATGCTAAAACTTAACAAAAAGCATGTTCTAGATGCAATAAAAGTTAAAATAGAATAAGAACAAATTAATTTGAACTCAAGTTTTTCAAAAAGTGAAAACTGCAAGCTTAATGCTTATTATGCTTTGCTGATCTGACAACTGTTATATGATATAAAGAATGGAGCAAAACTAACAAAATTTAGTGTTATTAGTAGATCATCTTTAAAATCAAGTTTTGTCTAAAAATGATTGCGGAATTTAGATAAAATTTTATTTTAGTCCAATCCAGAGCAGAATTATTTGATGAAAAGTTTACATAAAATATCCTTACATTGAGATTGTATGAGAATATGAGGGATAGTCGGTGGTTATATTGTAGATATAAAAAGAATAGCTCCCTATTGGACTTGCAATAGATTGAGAGGATACGAGCACTTTTTCATTTGGACTAATTGTGAAAGTCTGAGTTTCGGAACGCTGAATCCTCATCCAATCAAAAGTCATAGTAATAATGTCCAATTTCGTAAACAACACTCCAGTCTGGGTCGCACTTGTAGACATCATGTAAACTTTACCATTATTCCAGCTCGTAGTCTGTTGTAAGCTCCAATCACCAAGCTCGAAGGCAAACCTATTATTTCCTATCATTTCATCATTTGTATAACTCTCTTTACAACTTTTCCTAGATACCAATTACTTTTGCCACCCAGTGATATAATTGGATATGAATTTATAAACAAACTAGAGTAATTGATTTATTAAATTGCTCTCATATCCTTAAGAAGATCTAAATTCTAATGCTGCAAAATCCTAGTCTGATCATTGTAGTTTCACTTACCCATCGACTTGCATTAATGACACTAGTAATAGAAGCCAGAGAGCAAGGATTCAGTTGGAAAGTGGGATGTGGCTTCTTAGAGGGACTTTCTTGGGTGTTTGGATGAAGGGAGAGGAGAAAGGGTCTGGTTGAGGTGGGACTGAGGGATCTAGAGGGGTGGGGTTGGTGAGAGTGAGAGAGGAAGGGAAAGGGGAGGGTGAGTAAGGAGTTACTTTGGATCGACATTTTTTATTTTTATATTTTCCCAATACTTCTGCCTTTTCTAGGGGTTTTGGGGTTTTGGGGTTTTGGGG